AATAATAAAAAATAATAATGAATAATGAAAATAAAGAGAAAAAGACACTTCAAAACAAAGAGAAGATGACAGATTAAGGACCAACTGAACGAGACGCTCCCAAGGTGGTCACCATATTATATCTGGCCAAAATCAGCAACAAACCACGCACCAACACGGACGTCCAACAATGGCTTTGCTATCGAAAAACAATCTTCGAAGTGTTAGCATCCTAATGTCATTCCCACCCACCCCATCCCTCAGTGATAGGTCACCTCCCAACCACCCCATCTCACCAACTTAAATGTGGGGGCAGGGTGATGTTGTTATCGCAAAATGAGCAATTTGTAGGCTAGTTTACTGTAAATCATTTTTTGTGGCGATCCTGTGTATGCACCCAAAGGTCCGTGTTTAATGTAAAACCCAAATATAGAAACATTTTGATTACCGAAAAGTAAAAAAAAAAGTATTTTTGTTTGGTCACAGGCCTATTGGGGCGCCATGCAAAGTTTTATGTGCATTGGGAAATTAATAAATTGAGCTAGAATTATTTTTGTTTAACCCAGACAGAGCGAAATGAGCAAGCTAAAGTAAAAATCCACGACGCGCTCATAAGCTCATAAACAAACCAATTATTCTTATTACAAGGGGGTAAACAACGTGTGCGGCTTTCACGTGTATCAGGTAAATGCACATACAAATATCACAGACATAAACGTTCGCTAGTTAAGGAGACATTTGCAAACAATTACCTTAACAGTTAATTCATACCCACCGCTGTACTGAAACTCCCTTGGGATTTCCCCCAGAAGAATGAGGCAAACAATTAACCTTGATTTCTCCTAATTAAACAGGGACTCTAGTACAAGTCCAAACTGCGCGTGGTCTGGCTCCAATTTGCTCGTCCAGGGTATAAAAGCTGAGCTGGGACTGGACTCGACAGCGCTTACTCTTGGGAGCTCTCACTGGGAAAGCTTTCTCCAAACCCTTCACAGTCGACGAATCGCCAGCACTTTTCACTCTTCAAGATGATGAGACAACTGTTCGTCCTGGTCATCGTGGCCGGAGGTAAGTGCACATAGAAAAATCTTACTCCACATAACTCTTTGTAACACTTGAATTCTATTTAGAGTTGAGTACAGACAGTAAACAAAATCTTACTTCACATAACTCTTTGTCACATTTATTTATTTTTATTACGTATGAATAATTTGATGACACAAAGTGACAAACTTATAGTTTGACCGAGACTACTACAATCGTATCTAGAAAAGAGAGGCACATTTTTTTAAATCAGAAAACGCATTCTTCATTTAAAATCACCCTTTTTTAAAAAACGCAATATATTTGCCTTTCTTGACAAACGCAACATATATCCTCTGAGTGCCAGACAAGTTCTGTCATCGAGTAATGTGACTTCGCTTCGAAAGTTTGGTCGGTGGTTCGTCCCTATCTTATATATTGTAAGTCACATATGGTCGCTTTTAAGGACAAGCAGGCTAACCCAGATTTGGGGGGTTTCCGGAAATTATCTTGACCTACACCAAAAGTGGGTATTGCCCTACCTAGAGGAGAAGTTTGGTTTCATTGGTGTTTATATTATTATTTGTTTGGTTATAGAGAAAACTCTCCTTGTCTAACTGAACAAGGGGAAAAACTTTATCTTCGATTTTCTCACTACAGCGTTTTTCGGGATAGCCCCCTTGTGCTCAAAAGCGACCAATAGCATCAACGTTTCTCATACTTTTTTAAAGCTTGCTCCTATTTCCTGAATTAGAAGATGTTTGTATTTATGGGTTGAAGCTGAACAAAATCATGAAGCAGTTATTCAGACGAATAAGAATATACATAAATTAGGCGGATTAAATTGGTGTATTTGAGTTGTTAGTACACACCGTCTACCTATCTATTTGTTTCCTTATCATTGCAAAGGCAGTTTTATGAGAAGGCCTACTGGTACCCTTTTTCACATTTAGGTAAGACTAAAAATTGCTTTTTAAAAATATAGGCCTTATATTATTATTCGATAAGAATTTGCCTTTTTGTGTAAAAAAGATCACTGTGGATGTGTCGCGCTTTGTCAATATAAAGGATGAAAATTCAACATAGATACCCTCATACAACAAATATCAGTTAAACCTTACATCATGGTTATCCTGAAAACAAAGGTTTCTCAAGTTTATTCAGTAAATCGGCGAAGTAGAGAAAAAACAGAAATCATCCTTTTTTTTCTCTCAAAACTGGAATAAAATGGATATGTCGCTTTTGTCGCAAAAAATATTCATATTCATTACATTATGTGTATATGTTTCACTGATCTGATTAAGTTATATAATAGTCTAATCTGTTCTTGATAACATCTGTCTCTCATTCCTATTTATATTTTTTCAGTGGGAACTTGAAGTCTTTCAATGTTGTTGCAAGTATCCTGGAAATGCACACATGTCTCTTCGTGGTTGATTTTTGTTAGCGAGCGTCTCTAGCAGGCTTCTTTCAGCACTAACTCATTTAACTTCTTTTCCTTCCATGAACATCTCAATACTGTCTCGTAAGAAATCACATTTCTGCCACTTCTTGTGTTCACTATTCTTTGTGATTGCCCAGCATTCACAGCCATATATAGAAGTGTCCACCACACACAGCCTTGTATAACTTTTTTGTTATTTGAGCTATCATTGAGACAAAAATACAAACAACAACAATAACAACAGCAACAACAACAGCAACAACAATTATAATCAATACCAATACAACAATCACAATATGACTATCTATTAGAAAAACAAAAAGGCAAAAACAGTAGAAACAATAACAATAACAACCAAAACATTGATATTGTGGATCTGATTATGGCTGATGATCTAATGTGGCTGCTCCTTCTTTTTGATCAAACAGCTATTGTCCTTATCGCTCTTCCTCCTTTTCTTTGTGAGTTACTCACAAGTGACACCGATATCCTGTGCACCTATATGATGTCATTGTGGTGTAAGTGCCTTAAAACTCTTACTAAAATAATTTAACACTCTGTATGGTTCTCTCACATAACACCTCTAATCTTCGGCACTTATAAGACCTAAATGTATTGTAAGTGCCTTAAAACTGACTACAACTACCAACCACAACTAAACTGTTCCCCTGTGTGTCCCCCCCCCCCAACCCAAACAACCAGCCGTGCTCGCCGACAACTACTGGTGCCCCAAGGCCGGCGAGGCTTTCGAGTGCTTCGAGTCGTCCCCCACAGAAAGGTTTTGCCTGACCAACGGACGCGAGACCGCTGTCATCTGCTCCAAGTGCAGGAAGAAGTTCGACTTCTGCCGGTGAGGACACAACTTTTGTCTCTTACAACTCTTTTCTAGTTCCCTATTCCCTCTAGGTCTGTGTAAGCTTTAGAGCCCCGAGATTTTTCTACCGTTTCCCGGAGTTTTTTTCCACAGTCACACAAACCTAGAGCAGTAAGTCTCATTATAGCCCCAAAAGCTTGACTCCAACTTCTAAATAGCGGAGACAAAGGCTAAGTCGTTACTGAAAAACTTGATTCAGGAATAGTTCCAAAAAACAAGCAAAACTAGCACTGAATAAAACGAAACAGTTGTCACTAGTACTGGACGCTCCGATGGGGAACGGGGTTATCACCACCGGACGCTCCAAGCGTCTTATGGGGTTCAAAGAGCTAGCCCTCTCGCTTGGTCATTTAGGACGTTTACATTGTGATTTACCATTCCAAGTCTCTGAAAAAAAAACCAAAAAAAAAAAAAACTGGCTGTGGTCCATCGACGGAAAATGGATAACTTAGAGGGCGGGCTGCTTCAAAAATGCCTGTTGGGGCTGGCTCTGGGTTAATTGGATACAGAACCAAAATAGAAAGACGGAGACATTCCGTGAAGTAAACACCCCCAAGTGGGGTTCAAACTCACATCTAAAGTCGAAAACTGTTTGTTCTCAACTTTTATACTTCCCATATGTAAAGACACATCTAAAAGCACATATTCGGAATTGGTTCACTTCAGTTTGGACAACCGTTTCTTTTGATCTTTTACAGGACCTTTCTAAAAGCACATTCTCCGAATTAGTTTACTACAATTTAGAACAACCCTTGTTCTCAGTTTTTATATTTCCCAGATGTAAAGACCAATCTAAAAGCGCTTGTTCGAAATTGGTTCACGACAATTTAGAAAACCGCTTGTTCTTAACGTTTATGCTTTCCATGTAAAGACCCATCTAAAAAGCCCGCATTCGGGAACTGGTTCACTACAATTTAGAAAAACATTTGTTCTCAACTTTTACATTTCCCAAAATATGTAAATACCTTTCTAAAATCACATATTCGAAATTAGTTCACAACAATGTTGAACAACAGCTTTTTCTCAAATGTTTCATTTCCCATATTATGTACCTATCTAAAAGCACATATTCGGAATTGATTCACAACAATGTTGTACAACGGTTTCTTCTCCAGTAACGACTTCGTCAAATCCAAGAGAGCCCACACTGACTGTGGAGCCGGTTGGGAAAGCACTCCCTGCACCCACGACAACTCACACGTGCCCGCTGTCTTCCCCGGGAAACTTTGTAAGTTGTTCTCTCTATACCAAATATGTCTTTATGTATTTGTATTGTCTATACCAGATACGTTTTAGTGTACTGTCACTACTAGATACGTTTTGGTGTATTGTTAATACCAGACAGGTCGTAGAGTATTATATATACCAGATAGGTTTTGGTGTATTGTCAATACCAGATACGTTTTGGTGTGTTATTAATACCAGATACAAATTGTTGAATTATCAATACCAGAAAAGTCTCGGCGTATCGCTGTCACGCACTACTGTTGCCATAGTCAGAATGTCCATTGTAATGGGCAGCACGATATCTTTTTAGTAACAACATTAATAATAATAATGATAATAATATTTTTTTTGCGCTGAGCGACATTCTTTAAAAAATACTCATACATTTTTTTATATTTACGAGATACAAAAAAAAAAGTGATTAATCAAAAAATTTATCTTTTTCTCTCTGAAACCCTTAGCTGGTGGATGGGGCATGGACAGATATTTGTGTTTCCTTTGACACTAGAGTTGTGTTGCACTCAAAGTAGTGTGTTATTAAATGAACAAAATAACTTAAGAGTTGTCTGATTTATTTTATGAACAAAGACATTCAACTGCAGTCACATCATTTCAGAGTATCACATTGTATATTTCTGATTGGACAAAATTATTTCTCATCCGCAGAATATGTGACTTAAGTCACCAGAACTTATCCGGAGCAATCTGGACTTTGGACCCCGTGACGGACTTACAAACTGCGGTGTATAAACGTATGAACAAGCAATAAATGAGTTGTGTCTGATTCTACTTTTGTTGAGTCAAGTTTTTTTTCTTTGTGAACAAGTCCTGTTTGTGTGATCGTAATCTGACCCAGTGCATTCCTTTATCATTCAGTTTGCACTCCTTTCCTGACACGTCACGTTGAAACTGCAAAATTAGGGAAGTAAG